TCATCCCCAAGTATGATTAGAACGATTTATTATTTTAACGACAATATCAGCTGCGATTCATTTCACTGGGAAAACTAGACAACCGTCATTACTGGAGAGCCTTGATATCAAGGCTCTCTAGTTATTACGAATTATGTTGAGTTTTATCTAGAAAATAACAATTTTTATTTATTTAATTAAAAATAAATAAATCAGCTTGTTAGATAAGTGATAGTAGTACCTATATAATAACAAATCGTCCGTCTAGAAATCTTTGAGATTCACTATTTTTACCTATTGCTCGCAGTAAAGTTGCTATAGTACAACAATGATTATTAATGTCCGCGCAAATCGGATAAGAAACGACTGTGAATATTATAGCATTATTAAAACTGATTAAAAACTTGCTCGGTATACCTACACATGATTAACCTGCAAGGACTACGCTGATTTAGATTCTGATTCAACGATTACGGTAGACGAGAGATCATCCCCAAGTACGACTCGAACGATTTATTATTTTAACGAAAATATCAGCTGCGATTCATTTCACTGGAAAAACTAGACAACCGTCATTACTGGAGAGCCTTGATATCAACGCTCTCTAGTTATTACGAATTATGTTGAGTTTTATCTAGAAAATAACAATTATAAATAAATAAGTGATAGTATAGTACCTAAGGTAACAGATTGCAGGTCTAGAAATCTTTGAAACGCACTTTTTTTACCTATTGCTCACAGTAAAGTTGCTATATTATAGCATTATTAAAACTGATTAAAAAAAACTTGCTCGGTATACCTACACATGATTAACCTGCAAGGACTACGCTTATTTCGATTCTGATTCAACGATTACGGTAGACAAGAGATCATCCCCAAATACGACTCGAACGATATATTATTTTAACGAAAATATCAGCTGCGATTCATTTCACTGGAAAAACTAGACAACCGTCATTACTGGAGAGCCTTGATATCAACGCTCTCTAGTTATTACGAATTATGTTGAGTTTTATCTAGAAAATAACAATTATAAATAAATAAGTGATAGTATAGTACCTAAGGTAACAGATTGCAGGTCTAGAAATCTTTGAAACGCACTTTTTTTACCTATTGCTCACAGTAAAGTTGCTATATTATAGCATTATTAAAACTGATTAAAAAAAACTTGCTCGGTATACCTACACATGATTAACCTGCAAGGACTACGCTTATTTCGATTCTGATTCAACGATTACGGTAGACAAGAGATCATCCCCAAATACGACTCGAACGATATATTATTTTAACGAAAATATAAACTGTGAATCATTTGACTGGAAAAACTAAACAACCGTTAACGTCCGCACGTAATCGTTGTACAGTTTTTAACTCGGTCCATGGCATGATAAAAGCATGCACTTATGATGTAGGAAAGATTTTCTTATTTGAGCACGTCAACTTATACATCAGTGGTTCCCAACATGATTTTACCCTCGGCACATTATTGTCGTCTACTTAAAGTTGTGGCAAGCAAACATTTTAGATTCTAAGCGGACCGATGAATGCATTGGTTTTATAACGATAAGTTTTTTTACCTTCTGTCTTCAACACCTTTTGGGGCTGTAAAAATAATATACTTGACATTTTTCACTAAACTTTATTATTTCTTACATATGGTACATAATATTTATTATTATGTAGACTCCTTTTGAGCTATTTATAGACATTTTAAATACTTTCATTTTACGCTGTGTCGAAAAGTTTTCAATTTGAATACAAGGGAAATTATTATATACCAAGTTATTTAAAAATATTAAAGATATACGGGAATAATTTTTTTTCATAATCATTTGAACTTTTATTGTTGACAAAGTTAGTGAAAATCGCGAACATTTATAGGATTTTTTGTAATTGAAAATTTGTCAAATGTTCAGTTTACATATCTAAGAATTGAATATTTAATATAAGGTTTCTCATGAGTACCTATTTATACTACTTTGATGCTACTTTGATACTGTAACAAAAAATCCAAAAAAATTGTATTACATGTAATTGCAATTTATTTTTATAGACATTTCAAGTTTAATTGGACTAAATTACGTATTTAAATGAAGAATAACGATTATTTTGTTCTAATTCACAAACATTATTCGTACTGAAATATTAACGTGCATTGTATATTATACTGTACGCAACGACTAGTAATGTTTATATTTGTTTAAAAATATTTTTATTATTTTGAAGGATTAGAAATAATAAAAAGTTAAAATTTTCATTTCTCGTCCTTCTGGAACTACTGGGCTATATTATACAAACCAATATTTAACAAAAAATTATAATACTATTGTAACGTATAACCAACGACTATGCCCCTTTCTTCGGTTTCCTATACACTATAGGAAGAAACATAATAGTTTTACTATAATCCTCCTTAATTTTAGCCTGAACGAGATCCACGACAAGACAAATATTAAAATATAGAGTCTTATTCGTTCGATTTAAGTCCGATATTTTCAATACTATATTACATTATAATATTTTATAGCTATGTATAATCATATTATATTATAGTACCTAAATAGCGTACCACATAAAGAATAACGAGAGTTAATGAAATTGTGCTTATTAGTTTAAAACTGTTTTTATTAGTATATATTACGGTAATAACTACATAAAATAATGTAGATTAACTAGCACCTATCTCCCTTGGGCGCCACACGATTTGGGGGAACTTTAATGCACTTCTCTATAATATCGGTCGCCTGGTGTAAAATACAAGGGACAGTTTTATAATTTCGTAGAAACGCCATTTTAAAAAGTAACCCACAAACAGCATTAAGCCCATCATAATAATGTCAAACTCTTAGGGCGTCTATACACGGTGATTAAAACGTGAACTCTGTCTACAGGGTGTCCACTCCAGTAAATTAGCTGCAGGCCTCAAACATTAACCTAATTAAGTATGCGCTAACGTATGTGGATGTGCTTCGTTAAAGTTTTTTTTTTTGAAATTTCATACATTGTGTACTCTGCAGAAATATTTTACTCCAGAACTCCAAATGATATACATTATGTGATTCAAAAAACATTCTTTTTTTTTAAATATATGTTCTTATTGAAGTCGAAACTTTTGTAATATTATTTAATATTTGTCGAACAAAACCTTGTCCAGCTTGCTTTGTATTCAAAATGTTGAATTTTACTATAAGCTTTTACATATTATAAAGCATCCTTTATGACTATATACGTTGAACTTCCCTCAGGTATTCCCAAGGAATATCTAAGTTCTATTTTACAACCTTAAAATGTATAGCGTCTTTATGCAAAACATAATTATACTCCTTTAATTAACCAAAAATGCTTTCAAAGGCACTTAAATCATCACTCACAAAAATCAAGAAGTTCTAGTTATTATTCTGTGTCTTATAATTACTTTTTAAGTAGATATATAGCACAATTTTATAATTGTTAGTTCTAAGTAATTGAGACGACACTAGGAATTTTCGTGAAATAAAACTGTATTGTGCTCCTGTAAAACTTTTCATACTCATAATAAAAGTGTTTTATACGTGTTTTTAGAAGTTTGAGTATTTAGCGAGTAGTATATTTTTATTGTATTTTTACTTCATTAAATACACTAATTTGTCTCTTTGGACAAAGTACGAAATAAAAGTGTTTTGTAATTACTAACCATTTATTTTATTGTATTGTTACATGTATTTACTATAAAATTCTATATCAAAATCACGCACGTTCATTGACGTTCATTAAAACGTAAGGAAAAACAGTGATTTTAAATCGTAATCATAAGGTTATTTAGGGTACCTACTGGAATAGTCGAGTAGGTTCGTACATTGTTCTATACTAATGGAACTTGTTGCCAAACAAAGTAAAGTTGTGTCAAACAAAATACCTAACGTTGTAGTAATAGTTGTGTACCTAACTTGAAAACTGCATATTAAGTAGGTAAGTATAATATTACACAATATATTAAGCAATATTACATTATAAACAGTATATGTAAAATTTTAAAACATGGTATGAAATTTATAAATGGATAGTATAAACTTAGTCTTTGTAAAATATAATACAACCTATAATACGTCAATATTATTTCATTATAGTCATAAAATGGTTTAGAATTCGGCCCATATATCTTTAGACCAATTATATGACTTATTATTATTTTCAAACATTTTATTGTCTGAAATGAGTAACAATTTAGGTAAATTTTTTAAATTTATAACGATATTTGTGCATTATATATGTAGAGTAAACAATATAAATTTTTTTGGTTTGATGACATTTTTTTTTTATATTTGGCTCACGAGCAAAAATAAATTATAACAACGATGTATGAATTCTTAAATAATTAACGACTGCATTGAGATATTATTTATTTTGTACTAGCAAAATGTATGGTGTATTACGATCAACTGGACTGTAAAAATCATTTTAGAGGTAAAATACAAAACAGGTACATTAGCATTTGAACAGAATACGTTATTATAAATTATGGAAATATCAATATATTCCAATTTCACGTGAGTTCAGAATAATCAATAATATTAATTTAAATATTATTATAATATATTTATCAGCTTCTGAATGTTCAATCAACTATTTATTTGAAGGTTCAATAAAATCGTACCACGCTAAACGGTCAAGTGACGTAATCAATTAAGTAGGTATACAATTTAAGCGAAAATAAAACTTTTTTTCATAATATACGATCTAAACCTGAGGGGCACAATTAACATATTATGTGTTTAGTAGGACACATGATATACATATTAATATTAATTAATTGCATTAATTAACTAAAATAATTATAAATCGACTGGTAGGTACGAAATTCGTCTTTTTGTTCCTATGTAAATATACCTACCCAATGAATAAGGTTTCGGTTGAATTTTGTGTTTTGAATTTTAAAACAGTCGGTTGATGGTTTAAAAAAAAAAAAAAATATCAACAGCGTTTAGTTTGATTGGTGGTGCACATAAACATAATATAAGTAATAAATCACATCTCTTACGAATTTATGACGGATGGGTTTGAAATTGCATCATTGGAGCTAACGTTATTTTGTTTCGTATTTCGTTTCGTTGATGATAGTTTAGTCTACCTGAAATGGAAAATATTGCTTCATAATTGTTTGCAATAGCGTAGTACGGGGCTCTTGAAGTTTCGACTTGTGAAGAGAGATTTTTTTTTAACCATAGAGTAGTCTTCGTTTGAATTATGATCCTTGTTCTCGATGGTCGTGTGTAGAAACAGTGAGGATTAAACTTTAAACCTTGTGATCGTCTGGATATAGTTGTTTTATTTTTATCGGGTTGCCGATTAGCGTTAGTGTTAGTTTCGTTTTTCCAAGTAGACATAATAATTAACTGCAATGGGTATTCATTTCAAAGAGATCTGCACCGACCTAGTGGTGGTCTGCAGATCAGTCAACAGCCGTATGAAACGGTTACGCAATTACGTCTCCAACATGTTAATCGAAAAATATTTACACGTACTTCAGCGAAGTATTCGGGTATACCAATGTCGATAAGTTTAACGTTGTCGAGAAGCTGATAATAACAGTAAAATACAGATTGTGAGTAAATGAGTAATGAAACGCTAAAAGCACTTCCATTAATAAATATTTGACTAGTTGTCGTCAATAAGTGCACTGTTAATGAGAAACGACAGGGACGAGCGACACGTGCGTGTCGGACGACTCACACCGTGGGACCTAAACAAAATTTTAGCGTTCTATATTAGTAAACCATAAAACAATATGTAAATTTATCAATCAATCACTGTTATGTTTCATTAAAGTTGCAGTGTTCCGGGACGTTAACAACGTACATATACTTGGACAACTTCAAATTAAATAGCTATAGTTCGAAGAAGTTATACTGGTGTAGTTTTAATGAAATTCACTGAAAATTCCGGATAAATAAATCGCGTTTTTTTCGTCGAAATTGAAGTCTTCAGCGTTACATATAATTGTGTCATGTTTTTTTTTTTTTAAATTTTGTTACTTCAAATTGGTGTCTCCAAACTGCACATAATAAGTAAGTAGGGCGTGTACTACGAGAGTTATATTATATACTCATCATAAGTCGTGTAGAGAAATAAGCCACTTATGGAAGACACTTTTGATTTGATTTGTCAGGCAATTATTTTTGCAAAAGGTAAAACGTCGGCAGTTTCTTTTAAGTCCCATGCGAAAATTTTCTTTTAGGGGATTAAAGTAGATAAATCATTTAGGGGATAATAATTGTGATGGGTTCTGAGTCCGCTGTGCCCTTTGCAGTAGGCTTTGCTCATAAAACAGAATTGCTTCTTCAAAAATTGTTTTCATAGAAACAAAATAATTGGTATGAAAAATATAATTGGACATATTATAGGCAGATAATATTTAAGTGTAAGTCAAAACCGATAGTAGGATATGTGCCCAAATTCCAACAGGTGTGAGCAGCGTCTTGTGCAATATATTGGACTTTTGGTTTTCAATTCGAATACTTATTTATATCAATATGATATTTAGTAAGAATCACACGTGAACGTGGTCCTAACGTGATACCTAACCTAACCTAACCTAACCATCAAGGTATTTTTAAGTTGGAATAATCCTTTTCGGTTTCTTATTAAAAGCAATTATTATATTATGCTCAGCAATAGGTATGCAATGTTGAACTTGTAAAATGTGTTTTATGACCATGAAAATAAATGTGTTTTATGTACGCGTGTCAACCTTGTGCGTATAATATATTTTCTTTTAGTTTTCATTCCCAAAGAACGACAAGAAATAGCACTTTTTAGCGTTGTCTTATTATACAATGTATTTTTATGGTTTAGCTAGCTGGCTAGTGTTTACATTCACATATGAGCTCACATATAAGTTATAACTACTACAGTTTTATGTAATGTTTATTTATGTTCCATGGTCTCATTTAAGTGTATCACAAACACGATAAACTCATATTTTAGTTTTGAAAATAGATAAAAAAAAAATAGTATGTATATAAATTATGGGTTTTCTATTCTACTGTATATTATTAACATACCTTCACGCACATAATTCGCTAAAAAAATGGTTACTTAAGTTGGATATGATATAATAATAATATGTTACATTTTCTATTCGTATCTAATCGTTTAAGTAATGAATACTATAATATAATAATTTTAATAATGTAGTGATTAATAAAATGACTTCATACAAAATATAATATAATTCGAAATTTACCAGATACAGTTTGTTACACTAATGCTCATCTTAAACGTTCCCAAAGCCGATATATTCAATTGAGCTATTTATATCATCTCAGTTTACTCGTAAATATGATACCTATATGATTTATTTGTTACTTTACAGTTTACACAGTCTTATTCATTGCTTTAATCAAACATTCGAACATATTATATACATCTTGAAATAATGACATTATACCTACCACCTCTGTTTTTGTGAACTTTCGTCAATATCTGAATTGGGATTAAAGATATTAGAGTGGTAAAATTCCCCCTGAACCGCAATAGTGACAGGAACATTTTTAAAACCGAATTCTGGTTAAGACATTTAAATGAGCCAAACAAATGTCAATTAGTATAATATTATTATTCTGCTTTTGCGGTGTGTTTTAAATGTTCAGAGTTTCAATTACTGTTCTATTTAAGTTTATATTATGTTAATTATGTAAGTATTTACTATCGTCTATCATAATACATTTATCGTGTGGACAGAAATTTAAACTATAATCTATACCAGGGATGGGCAACTGGCGTCCAGCGTACCATTTTTCACTGGCCCTTGCTACATTTCAATGAAGTTTATAAAAGTATAAAATGTTAAGATTTTTCTGTATTTTATTTTATTATATTTATAAAATTATTAAAATCGATATAATGTTAATCGTGAAACGTAGATAAAATTCTTATCTAGTATTGAGCAATTAAATGTGAATAATATTATATTATTTACAGGGGTATAGTTAACATTAGGTTTTAGATTCTGAGTGGAACGATTAATGTATTGATTTTAGTATTTTACAATGATGTGTGTTTTTTTATTTTTTGTGTCTGTCATCACCATTTAGGACAGTAAAAGTGCTTGGATTTTCTTCAACGCAGTATCTTTTCTGATAAGAAGTACTTTGGGGGGGTCAAAAGTAAAAATGGCCCAGTAGTTTTCAAAAGTGACGTGAAAAACAAAACAAAAATTAAGGAAAAATCGCGAAAATTAGCAAATTATATTGAGTTAAGAGTTGGTAAAAATGTTTCTATTTAAATCTAAAATTTTAAAATGTAATACAAGATTCCTTATAAGATTATCTACCTTTAATAAAAAAAAAATGTCTATAAGAAAGTCAAATTAAATTTTTATGAGCGTTTGAAATTCAAATTTTTACAACATTGGATATTCACTCGATTTCTCGTGTAGCGATTTCTTTATTTTGTTGTAATTCAAAAACTAATGACTGTAGATACATGAAAATTTCACCGAATGTTTATATTAGCATTATAAAGCATTATACAACTTACAATTTTGAAAATATTTTGACTCTTTTTGAGCTGTTTACCGACATTTTCAGTTTTCAGTTTTTTTAGTTTTTTTTACTATAAATATCAATTAAGTTTTACCTGTTGGGCCAAAAAGTGTAAAAATTTAATACAAGGCTCCTGATATATTGTTACAATATCAGTTGAAAAATATTAAAAATACACAATTTTACACAGGCACAATTTTTTTTTTATAAGCATTTAAAGTTCAAATTTTGACAAAACTTATCACATTTAAAATGTAATAATAATTTTGTAGTTAAAAATGTATAAAATGTTCAACTTTTATATCTAAGGATCAAAAATTTAAAACTATATTCCACGTAAGTAGTTAATTCTGTTACCAAACAATCTAAAAAATACATAATCACAGTTTATTTTTATAGTCATTTTAAGTTCAAATTTGGACGAAATTACATAAAAAAAAACTTAGAATAACTATTTTAGTTATTTTGTTGTGACTGTATAATATTATTCGTGGGCACTTGAAACTTCTAAAGTACACTATTATAATATAGAAGATAGTATCAGGGTTTGTTGTTGATGTATAACGCGTTATAAATACCTAATGGATATTAATATATAATTTAGAATTTATTATTGGTACCTATTATAGGGTAATTTTTTTAATACCATAGATAAGTATATAATATGTCTTATACCTAGACTGACATACCGTCTCCGCTCAGAATCGTTTTTCTTATACAATGATATTATATTATCATTGAATTGAAATTTAATACCATCCATTATACAGTGACCCATTTGTAACCTACTGTAAAGCAGAGCACCTTTTTTTTTGGCTTACTATGTTCTCTGGCAGTCTGGCCCGCTAGATTTTTGCACATTCGAAATTGACCATCTAGTAGCATTGAGTTGCCCTTCCCTGATCTATACAAAGCCTGCACAAGGGTTTATATGCTCAATTTTTTTTTTTTGATTCCATAATATTTTCACGACCACTTTGAAATTCAGATTCATTCGATCGATAAAATACCGTTTTCAGTTATTCCGCATTAACTTAGTTCATTTTATATAGACGTATGACTCACTACGATGTGCGATTATAATATGTGAGACTCTCTCATTCCTATATAAGCACTGCCTTAAAATACAGCGATGTTCCAGAATCCAGATCACACAGGGTCAGCGAATTTATCGGAATCTATTAAACTATGAAATTATAATTTCAAATCATATTTGTCCGTATACTAAATTGATTTTTATGATTTTAATTAAATTATAACAATTTTTGTACATAACTGAAGGAAATCATAATCGCATGTTTATCCTATGAACACTTAAATCGTAAAATAAAAGTTACTACAAAAACATTACCTTGAAGTATAATTATTATATTAAACATCTCTGGTCGTCCTAATTATAAGATCCTGAACATTTTTAAAATGAAAATGTTAACTTTTCATTAATTTATTATAATTAAAAACGCATAACATTATACATAATATATTATATTTCCACTGTATATATATATATGTACACGATTTAAAATTTTAGTATGGTTTTTATTTTTTCTGGTTGTAACTCAATACGTAGAAACAATAACAATAACATAATATAGTTATAGCAGAATGTTTGAATTTTAGTATATTATTTATTTTAATAGCTTGAGATCATTATATACAAATTATTTTAACGAGTGTTAAGTCAAGAGTCAAGTTCGGTGAGAATAATCGATTAGTTTCACTATTAGTCCACAATCATAAATTATTGTTTATGAATATTCTTGTGGAACAAAACGCATATTGGAAGCTTTTCACCATTGGATTATACATGGACAGATATTTGTGTCAGCTCCTGTGCCATT